TTCATTTTTATTTTCTTTGAATACAATATTTCCTGTTGTTTATTCAAGCGTAACATTCACTTTAGAGACAAAGAGAGAGTGAGAGAGAGAAACAAAAAGAGAAGGAGAGAGACAGAGCGAATGTAATTTATGATTGGTTGTGAAAACCAATCATCTTTGCATATAAATTCGATGATATGCTGTATAAATCATATTCATATCATTATTTCTAAAAATGTTTAAACGTTTTCGAAAGAGAAATTACTGGAAATCAGTTGGAAACGAGGATGGATATATTGCAGCTGTCGAGAAACTTGGATCAAAGTATTTAGAATTGGATGCCACTAATGAACGCTATACTGAATCGGATTCTATATGGGGTCAACTAGCAAGTTTTACAGAAATTTCTGAAAAAAACACGTATGACACACGCAAATGGCTTTACACCGTATGGACAGATGATCGACGAGAAGTACGCACCAAGTTCTATCGTCTAAAGGCTTCTGACAATCTCTCTGAACATAAAATGTCACCATCAAACAACTCAACAAAAAAAGATGCTATGTCTTTCGATAAGGTAAAATTATACTTCTTAACTTTTATTTTGATACGGAGTGACTTCGTAAGACGAGGAAAAAATAATATATTTTATCATTTAGACTAGTTCACCAGGATGTAAGTGTGTATGTGGGAGTTGTGGAATAAAAGATCCATATTCATAACTTAGAGGAAAATAGGTCTACTATTAAAAATGATTGTTTCAACAAATAACATTCGTGGTAAACTTTAGTCGAAAAAACTTTGTTGTCTGGAAAACTCACCAAAATAGGTTTTCGGACAGCATCAACGCGTTTTCGAACTGATTTTTGGAACCCTTAAAAGGTTCTTGGAGGAAAAAAAATGAATTTCTTAACTTCGGAAATCTTTACAGGGTTTCATATAGTGAGAAAATCGGATGCATCAAAGGGTGTTTGTAAAAAGTGCCCCCTATTCGAAAACTCGGAAATTCGATCACTTTTTTCCAAACTTCTTTAGCGTTTCTGATTTTGTCACTATATGAATCGGAAACCTATTTTGGTAGTTTTTCGAAAAAACATTTTTTTTAAGAATGAAGCTGAAAAGGTTTGGTTGTGTTCGCATGAAGTTGATGTAAACTGTGGGTAGAGCTCAGACGCAGGTATTTTTACTTGTACTTGTACTTCGTCTAGCTCTGCCTCAACTAAAGTTTCCAAGCAAAGCTACTCTTCTAAATACATGCATAAAGTGGCACTCATCGTACCCGAGAGTTTCGAAATCTGAAGTCGTCTATAGTTAAAAGTTTCATGCTTGCTTCATTCAGGATAAGCCTCAAAAAAGGTATACACTGTCATCTATATACAGTATACGATTTACTGCAGAGCCAACTCAGTACCGGGGGTGGGTGTGGGTGTGAGGGTGTGTGGGGGGTGGATGCGGGTGGGTGGGTGTGTGGATGTGGTTGTGAGCGTGGGTGCGAGTGTACGTGTGAGTGTGCGTGTGAGTGTTAGTATGTATCTCCATCCATACTCACCCGCACACTGATACCCATACCCACACCCACATACCTCACACCCACACCCACACCCTAGCAATTCCCAAGTCTCTATTGGCCTCCATTCTATAGACTTGACTTTCTTTGGTTTAAAACAGAATGTCGGAGTGTAGAATATCATAGATCCTTTTTAAAAATTCTTACTTTTTAATAGAAGAGCAGAGATGAATAGTTCAGTGTTTCGAGAGACTCGTTCAAAATGAGTTCTGTTATGCTTTTTATGTTCATATGCATGTTCAAACTAAAAATAGCCATTGGTCACAATAAAGCTTCTTCGAGCATTCTGGTATGCACGATTAAAAATCCGTTAGAAATAGAATCGAAAAATAAACTTCCATTTTATTGGAAAAAATCCATATCCTTCAAGTAGATAATGACATAAATTTTCAAAAGAAAACGAGATATCAAGACAGAAATCATTGAATTTATGGAAGATCAGATTGCAAACTATCTTTCTATGAACTGTTTCCATCTCTTCTTCATATGTACGATTTAATGTGACATACACTATTCGCCCACAAATGGAAACGAGTTCTCTATCAATTGATATAATTGCTCATTGCGAGCACTAACTTTTTTTTTCATTTTGTCTTTGTCGTCCACTGAATTTTACTATTGTTTAAAACTTTTGTAAGTTTTTCAACACATAAGAATTTAAAAATATATTTGTAATTTATTTCATGATCAAATCATATTGTTTAATTTCTATGTTAATAAAAGTTGTTTCAATCTATTTAGTTCTATAATTATAATAATTATAATGAAAACGTCTTTTTTTGTATTACTGAACAACCTAGTGCTGCTCTTTCATATCCATAACTAAGAATATCTGTTAAAATTCACTGATTAACATCAAATTTTTGTTTTTCAAAAAGATCACTACCAAGATCATTGTATTATAAGTCACATTTTGAACCTTGTCAAGTGACATAAATTTCCTTTTCAAAACCATATTTTTGATAAACATCAGAACATTTATCCATAAGTTTTAATAGTGTTAGTTGATGTTCATCAATATTTAAAATAAAACATTGATTATTTAGTAATCGTATGCCAATCAGTATTACCTAATGAATTAGATACATCAGATTGTCGAACTGATTGTACTTAATAAATTGGTGCAATACGATCAGAAAATGATGGAATAGATTCATTAAGTCTTATTAAATCAATATCATTAGTTGATATTCTTTGCTATAATCAGCATAAAAATATAAAAGGATCGATTGAGATATGATAAGTAGAATTCGATAGATACTGTGCATCAAAAACAGTTGAATATTATATTGAAATCAGATCATGTTGAAAACAATCTGTTGCTGTTAAAATATGCTGATGATCAATAAAAGTTCCAGCATATATATGTGCTGTTCATTATAATGAGTTGAAACTTGACATGGTAAGGATTATGAATGAACTTGTATATCATTAATAATAGACCATTCATCAGGAAGATATGTTGATATACTACATGGATTGTATTCTAAACAAAAGAAAATCTAATTTTAAAAAAATTTTACTGCCTACATGATATATAAATCCATCATAGATTTCTATATAATTTTCATTAAAATCGTTTGATTTGTTATAGGTTGATAAAATTGATTTCGTATTTCAAATAAACTTGTTTCTCGAATTACTTAAAATATTGATGAATATTTTGCTCGAATAATTGAAAAATGTTTAATATCATTTTCATCCGATTCAGGATTCTTAAAAGAATATACATGATTGTTTTAAATGTTTGGCAACAAAATGATAGTTTTAATCTTTCGAAAAAATAATTAATCAATAAAAAGAAATTTAATCCAAAAGTGAATCAATACGTATTACAACATATCATGATTTTGAAAATTCGTTCAACTTGGTTCTAGTCATAGGGAATAATCTTTGCTTTTGTTTTAGTTTTCTTTCAATTATATGAATAATTATCCAAGATCAACATTATTTTCTAAACCTTGTATGAATCAGATTCATTTAAAAAAAAATCAAAGCCTATTGTGAAGGACGCAAAAGTAAACAAATCGATAGTAAACCGAAGCAACTAAAATATCAGATTGTAGTTATCTCGATTTTTTCCGAGAGATGAATGTTTTTGGTATAACAGAATATTAAAAATGGAGAGTATTTCAGTTCTATTGAAGAAATATAACACATTTTCGACGACGACGGAAGAGGCAATGTTGTGTATTCGAAAATGTCAATCTACTCGTCAGATCATCAGAAAAATAAATCTGTAAAGAACGTAAAAATCGTTCTTTTATTCAATTTTTCTTTTATTTTTCATCAAGGTTATTGTTTGTTTTTACACTGATCATTGTAAATATCTGTTTACTTCTGATTCCTGATGCGAATAGAAAAATCACGGTATATCTCAAATAAAAAGGTTATTATCGATACATATTATTTATCTATATTGATGTAAATTGAGATGATTTCGTAAATTTATTGGAATAAAATTTTACAGAGTCAGATATATATGATCAGTTTTGTACATCTATCCAACAGATGATGATAAATTATCCATGATATTCTTCATATTATTTCTTAACTTAGTAATGAAAAATTCTCATAAAATATATTTCGAATTAAGATTTTTCATTTATTAATAGTTGAGTTTGTGTCTAGCTGAAACTATTCTTACAATATGTTTGCAACATGTGTATTTGTTCAATAGAAATATTTACTAAACATTTGATGAAAAAAAAAATTCAAAACATGTAAATTATTATAAAACTGTATGTGTTTTCAGTGCCTTAACTCTCAAAATACCACATATTGTTTTTGAATGTTTTAAATTCAATAGAAAATTCGTCATTCAGATGTGAAACATTCTAAATAATAATATATTTCTCTATAGTCACAAAAGATTTTATCTATGCTATTTATGATTGACTAAGTCATAAAAATTTTAAAAGTATTCAATACGAAAATTTATGTATATCAATCTTTTCCATAAATTCTAGCACTATTATCAGTTTATGTAAATTTAGAAAACTATATATATTGTTTCGATCTATATATAATTAGAATTTCGGTTTCTACCAAGAAAAATTATAAAAAATTTTACTCATAATTGAATATTAGTTACTACGAAACACCTTTTCTGTGCGACATCTAGTTCAGTGTTCAAATATTACGTCGTCTAAAAATCTCATCTTTTTTTTTTTTTTTTAATTACCAAAACTATTGTAAAAATTATCACTATACGATTATTTTTAATGAGTACTTTTAAAACAACTAAAAATTTCAATTTTATTATTGGTCAAGAGATCTAAGAAAATAAATAACTATTCTTCAGTACCACAACTAAAAGGATTTTTTTTCCCTAAGAATAAATCAAATCTATCTTTTTTAGTATTCAAATATTAAATATTATTCTTTCTAAATACATGTTTTCTCTTAAGTTTATTATAGAATTTATTTAAATACATTATAATTATCATCAACTATGGCTCATGCTCAACATGTTATTGATCAATATCAAAATGGTACGTAAAGAAAATAATATCTACTGCCTCTATTTAAGTATATTTAAACCAAAATACAACAGATTTTAGTTCATTGAATTTAATTCATGTAAATTTATATTAAAAAAAATTACATTTTTAGGTAACAATATCGATGATGACAATACACCTGTATCCATTCACGTAGAAGAAATTGAACGTCACATTAATGTACAAGGCAATGATGATTATGATCTTATTCTACCATACTATATAGCAAATATTCCGAAAGATATTATCAATGGTAGATATCAGTTTATTTTTTTCTTATCTGAATACTATGATGCAAAATAGATCATTCTAATTTGCAGAGATGTGAGAGTTAGAAAATCTTTTTCACTTCCAAATATATTCAGTACTTATCAAGTTTTTTTTCTATACCAGAACGACTGATGCAACTTTGAACAAAAAAAAAAAAAGAAACTTTAATGAATAGTACATGTATATTTATTTT